TCCTATTTAGGCGGGACACACAAAAAAACACCTTCCTATTTTGGGGGATGCTCTATTTTATTTCCTTTCTTGACGGGACACGCAAAAGTTTAAAGTTCAAGCAGTGCGAAGAAGTAGCGGAGACCAGAGCTTGGTATACGGTTACATAATTTGCGTGTCCCTAGTAATTCCCTAAGTCCAATTAAGCAAGTAGTGGCTCATAGGAGTAAGATATAAGAATATCAAGTGTGTCTATTGATTGTAAAACTGTTAATATATACAGTTGCAGTTATAAATTAAAAAACGATGGAATAATCTCTAGCGCAGAGAGTTGGATTTCTTTTGACGAATGCTTTGTGATATGGGTTTAGAATTGGGATGGGGAATTTTACTGGCCTCCCGGTCTTTGTTCGAGCAGTTTCTATCAAATAGAAATGATTGTGATCCAGTAAAATATTAATGACAGTGTAGTTAGTTGGCTCAAACGCAAGAGGCGCAAAAAAGCTGCTTGTTTTAAATGGTTTGCCATTAAATGAAGCCTTTGAAAAGACGGCAATACCGCGAACAAAAGCGTCAGCAGCGATCTGCGGACAGTCAGTGATGTTGAACAAATACTGGATTGGGCATGGCGATAGGTTACAAGACAAGCTTTTTTCGAAGATGTCACTATCCTCCACTTGATTTGCATATAGTGTGTCCTTGTACTTCTTATATGTTTTAAGTATCTGCTCCTTTACCTCCTTCCAACTATTTTGATTGCCATAAATTGCCATACTAATGGCTCTGTATCCACAGTTCCCATCTGCGTCAGGACTGTATATTTTAGCCACCTTCTCAAAACCAACTCCAAAGTCTTGGCAAAAGCTATTTACAATACCAGCATGTTCATTGTTTTCATAGGTGATGCTAAAAGTGTAAGAAATTATCGATAAATTTTCCTTTAGCATACACTGTTAGATAGATATGAGATCTACCTCATCTTATTGCTGTTCTTGCTAAAAGCATTTGCTTCTGTGCATGCACTATTGGCCTTTGTAGCATAATATATTAGCAAGCAATGGCTTTGGATTAACGCCTTCTAACTTACATCT